TACTTACATGCACATCACTTCCCACCTGACAGGTACCTCGTGGTCAACCCTACCTCCGCCAATCGGTAAGTGGTGCTTGCTTATTTGTCAGCCGTTTCTGGAACCGTTATCCATAGGCCATTTGGAGGCCCTCCCCTCTGGTACTCGTACCTTTTTCGAGGTAACTCAGGGCCGTAACATTGCTGGTAGCAGAGCGTGGTTGATTTTTACAATCACTCCCGGCCGTAATACGTAATAAAAATATTTTTTTTTCTATTCTTTTTCTTTGTTCGCTTATTTTGTTTGTTAGTGTTGGGTAGAATTAGAAACCACGCCCGTTAAGCGGCGTAAGCACGAGTGTAGTTTAGAGTTAGGTACCTACGCGTCAGGTATTTGTATTTAGTATTTGTATTTGCATTTGTATTGTAGACTAAATTGCCGAAGCGTCGGTCGTCTCAGCGTGGCATCTTTGTTGACCGACTGTAGTGTAATTGTGTTTAATTTAATTAATAGTGATTGTATTAATTAAATTAATTGTGTAGTGTAATTGTGTTTGATTTAATTAATAGTAATTGTATTGAGTAGTGATGCCATCGCACAAGCCACCGGCGCTTCGCTTGCAGGCGGAGCTGCGCTGGGTCGCGAACGCCCACAGCTTGATAGGGCGACCCGATCTGGTCAATAATTTAGAGAAGCGGCTCGAGCAGGTCATGGCCCGAAGGGCCGTAGTGGAGGAGGCTTGCACTGATCTTTTGTCTTGGGAGCGGAACAGGGAGTTCTAGACCCCTACCTCGCGGACTACGAGCGGTTTTTTTCACTCACCGACGACTTGATCGAGGCGGGGGCCAAGTATGCTCATGAAACGCGTGAAGCTCAGGCTGGGTGGCCTGCTCGAGTCCACTCGGAAGCAGCCTACTCAGCCGTAACTGTTGGGACGACTCCTAATTCTGGACCTGCCACGGTTCTCCGGGGTCCTTTCCGACTGGCTGACCTTTGTTGGTCTTTTTGACAGCCTAGTGGACGCCCGGAGGGACTTGACACCAAACCAGAAGATGGCTTATCTCCTGGCCTCACTGGAGGGGGAGGCCCTGGGCGTTGTCGGCCATCTGAAATTGTCGAACGACGCCTACCAGCCCGCTCGGGACTTCCTCGCCGGAAGGTACGCAAACATACGGCGAATTGCGAACGAATACGTCAAGCAGCTGCTAAGCCTCCCGCTGCTTAAGGACCGGCCCAGACTACGTCCGGACATCGTAAATCCAGTCTTGGTGGCCTGCAATTCTTTGAGGCGGCTGGATTTACCGGTGGACGAAAGGTCCTTTTTGTTGCTCTACATTGTGCAATCCCGCCTGCCTCTCGGTCTCCGGATCCATTTCGAGGAGAGGTACGACGGGGACGGCGCCTCCTATATTCCGCCCTTCAGGGACTTGCTGTGGTTCTTGGAGGAGCACCCTCTACCTCCCATGGCCCCACTAACCTCACGGTTATACGGGCCGAATCTCGAGAGATGCACGCGGTACTTGCTCTGGGCTCTTTCCCGCATGCACTTTCTTAACTCTCTACAAGTTATTTAATCTGTTCCTGTCCCTTGTATTCCACTCTCCCCTTCTGGGCTGGACGAACACACCACGCCTTCGGTTCCGGGCAGAACGCTCCTTTGCCTCTCCATGGCTGTTCTTCTCGCATGCCATCCATGCGCAAACTCCCGCAGCCGGCCAAAGCTGTCCTTACCGTCCACAAGGTCCGGGTAGCAAACCGGACCCACGCTTCTGCGTACTATTCCGTTCATCATCTTACATCTCAGGTCGTCATACAACGCACACTCCCATAGCACGTGATGCCTATCCTCATAGGCAGCACCGCAATCACACGTACCCGATTCAACCAGTTTCATGTCATACAGTCTCTTCCGAAAACATACATGCCCACTGAGCATCTGCGAGACTTGATAATCCGGCACGATCCAACTTGCGTTGAGTCGCGCCGACACGTCCAGCAAGAAACAGAAAAGCTCCCTTCCATACGTCTCTTTTTCCCATCTCTCTTACCAAACGTTCATAACATCCGCCCAAATCTTCTGCTTCCGCACGCGCGAGATCAATCCTACCAGCACGAGTCACCTCCAGGTCAGCCGGAAGGACGCCGGCTAGCACCGGAAGTGCCGCAGTGCTGATCGTCCTGTAGCTCTTAGTCAACAAAACGAGTGAAGACCTTTGTGATCTGAGCAGTGACGTGCGCACCGTATAATTCCTTACCCGATTTACCCAGACTGCCGCTGCATAACTTACTATAGGAACATATGTTCCATTGTACAAAACACGAAGAGCCGGGTAACGAATACCCCAGGAGGACGTCGACACCCGCGACATTTTCCCGAAGCATCTCCCAGCCCTATTCCCCATGTCCTTCGCATGCTTAATAAAGGACTGACTATTGTCAAGCGTAACGCCCAATACTTTAGTCGACTCTATGCTTTTTATTGAGTTGCTTCCCATCCTGATTACAGGTGGTCGCAAGAACCTGCCCTTGAGGGTCATTGTGCATGACTTTGTGGAGGAAAAGGATAGAAGATTCCTTTCCCCCCATGACTCAACCAGCTCCAGTACAGACTTGGCCGTTTTCTCTATGTCAGCCCTAGAGTTCGCCTCAATCAAGAGCGTTACATCGTCTGCACACGCTATCATCTTCGTATTGGTAGGAAATGGCAGCCTCAACAGATCATCCAGCAGTAAATTCCATAGGGTCGGTCCTAAAACCGATCCTTGCGGACAGCTCATGGTCGAGCGTTTCCATTCAACGCATTCGCGGACAAAGATACCTACCCGTCTGTTGGTGAAATAATCTACCAACAACCGATAGATGTTGGGTGAGATCCCTCCCTGTTTGTTTCCCTTCAAAAGTATCATCGGCCACCATGCATTGTCAAAGGCCCCGGATATATCAAAAAAGACGGCCTGTACATACTTGCGCTGCGTCACGCTCGCAGTACGAAGCACGTCGTGCAGCGCTGTAACAGTAGACCGGCCTAGCGAAAACCCATGCTGGTAGTCAGATATACCCCTCATTAGACTCGGGCCACACCTAAGCAGAATTCGCTCCAATATTTTTCCAAAAATGGGAAGGCGCGTAATCGGGCGATACGCCTTGGGGTCCGTCAATGACCTGCCGTTACCTTTTGGAATCACTATCAACCGTCCGTTCTTCCATACGTCCGGGAAAACTCCCTCTTTCACACATTTGCTATACACCCAGTGGAATTCCCTGGGTGCGGCCCTCCATACATTCTTTAACACTTCTGCACTAATCCCCTCCAGTCCCAGAGCAGTGTTAGGCAACGCCCTGACTATGCCCCCCAAACAGTCAATGGTTACAAAGCCAAACACGCCCATGGTATTCTGTGTCCTTGGACGCATCATCGTCTGGGCACAGAGCCCCTAGCAGGTCCTGCATGGCCTCCCTCACCCCCCAGAATATCGCTCCACATATTCAATAGCATTAATTATGTTGCTGGGAGGACGATAACGCCCACTTGAGATTTGGTATGCCCGTCTCCATGGGTCTGTGTTTCCGACCTCTGCCATTTTTCTAAAATGATGCAGTTCCGTGTCCCCCATCAGCTGTCTATATCACGCTCTCACACTATGGAAACGTTCCATAGCTAGTTCCTCAGACCTGATTCCTTTCTTTCTGGTCTTCTGCCATACCCTTCTCGCATTACATACTTTCTTCCTCATTCCATCAAGTTCAGGCGTCCACCACTCATAGCCGGCCTCCCGTCTGGGGCGCGCAGCCCCCAGAACATCCTCCGCAGATCGGACTACAATGTCCGTGAACTGCTCACAAAGACGGTTTGCCGGTTGTCTAACCTTTAGGGCTCCCATACGTACATGAACAGTACCGCGAAAGAATCCCCAAGTAACCCCCCAGTCCCGAAAACGGGCAGGCACCCCAACCAACCCCAGGAGCTCGGCATGGTTGACTCTTCCAATCCTATATGTAATGAGCCTGTGATCGCTAGAGCTGACGCTATCCAGGACTCGCCACTCTGTAACCAAAACCCCTCTAGATAAAAGAGTAAGGTCAATATTTGACTCTCCCCTTACCCAAAAAAGTGCTTGGTTGGCCTTCAACATTGGCCACCACCAATCCCCGTGCTAAGATGAAATCTTCCATCATTTTACGGCGGTGCTCTTCTTCATGGCCCCCACCTGTGATCTGATCAGCGTCACAAAACCAAAGTGGCGAGTGCGCGTTGCAATCTACTCCGATTACAACGCGCTCGCCTCTCAACTGGTCAAGTACGGTCTCTAGATGTTGCAAGTGACTGTCTATGTTGTGGCTATATTTGAAATAAGCTGAGATGACGTAGAGACCGTACTACTCCACCTGGCATACCACGCAATGGGGGTTAGAAAGGTGTGGCAGTCCAGCAACTCCTAAGTTATTATTAAAGATCTTAATACCAGCCTCCGACCCCTCACTGAATCGAATCAGTTCCTGTGCCTGCGACCACTGCTCCTGGACTAGGACAAAATCCAGGCCCAGTTCTGCGGCAATTACTGGCAGCTCTTTGGTGGCTACCTCTCCCCGTCCCAAATTTATTTGCCCCTTGTTTAGGTATTTTTCAGCCGCCATATTGCCTGGTGTTGACCGCCCTTTCTTCTGCGTACACCCTAGCCGGGCACATCTTCGCCATCGTGGTATAAGTCTTTGCGCCCGGGTTGCCAAACTTTTTACAAGTGGCACAGCAAACCTCACCTCTGAAGTGCAGTCCTCCCTGGCATGGCCTTCCTCACCACATTTACCACACGTTACCTCCTTGGCCCGTCAGTACTTTGCCGGGTGGCCATACTGCTGGCATCTCTGGCAGCAGGTGACGCCGACGAAGTCACATGGCTCGACCACGTCCCTACCTACGTAAAGCTTTGGGGCCCTTTCCAGAACACTGCAGCACCACTGTAGTCCTGCGACTGCCTCTCCACGACTTTTTAAATGCCACCTTACAGTTTTTATTTAGCTCTTCAAGGGTCCACACCTCGTCCTCTCCAAAGTTTTGGTCGTGGAGAGCAGGCAGAAGCTCCTTCGTTATTTAAGTCGTCCTCGAAACCTCTTATAGCCACGAGTGGCATGTGCTGCCTGGGCTCTGTCACTCTGAGCGTTGGTGGCGCCGCTGGTCTCAGCTTCTGAGCGTATTCCTGGGACGTGGTCTGGACCACTACCCCCGTATTTCCAATCTTTCTAAATTTAGCCACCTGTATGTTTATCTCAGAGGGCTTAATGGCTTTCTTTAATTCGGCCTTTGTGTCGTCCGCCATCTTGAGGTGCTCCTGTTCACCTGCCGGGTAGAATGCCAAGACCGGACCTGATTTTTCCGGAATTGGCATTGCTGTCACACCCTTTGGCATCCGTAAAATTGATGCAAACGTAGCAGGGGCGTGATCCCCGTTACCTGAGGGTGCACGCGCGGTCTCCTGGCGCGCCAGCTTAGCCTCTGCTTAAGATCTGTCTCTTTCCGATCTACAGAGCGCAAGTTGAGCCTCCATAACGTGCACTTGCATCGCCGCCACCATTGCGATCAAGTCCTGTCCGGTTGCCGAAACTTTGTTCACTTCTGATTTGTTCAATTTCGATCCAGGCCCAGAGACGATGCCCATGATGGTTTTGGAGTAGCTCTGGAGTAGTTGCGACCAAAGTCACAGTCCCGCCTATTTTCTTCTCTTTTTCCTTCTCCACTTTTTGTCGCTGCGTCACAGGCTGCGACTGGTCCGGAGACGTGAGCGGTCGCTTCTCCGGAGCCGCACTGGAGCCTCCCCTTGGGTTCTGCGAGCTGGAGCCTGCAGCAGGCCTCGCCGGAGCACCGGAGCACCCGGGGGGGGGGGGGCGTTCGCGCCAGCGACTTCCGCGGCACAAATAGGGGGGGTGGGTGTTTCATCCCCCATTATATCAATAAAAGTCCCTACTCAGTCAGTATGATACAAAAATAAAAGTAAAATAAAATTAAAAATTTCCAAAAGTTGTTAACTTTAAAAATTCAACTGCCGGAGAAACTGCCAAATACCCAAGGATTTACACCTATATGGGAGCAAAAGGTTCAGTCAATTTCAAAAAAGTCCAAAAAAAATTACAAATTTAAAAGTCAATTTCCTGAGTGGTCGCTAGATGTCTGGGTATAAGTAAATACACCAGCGCCCTCTAGCGGTTCACACTTGGACTTACGCACAGATGAATAAAATACAAAAGTTAAAATCTTAAACCACTAAGAGTGTCACTGTCACAAGCCTAAATAAAAAAGATGTCGCTAGCTACTAAGCACCTATTGTGGCGCCATCTAGCGACATCAACCTAAACTAAAAATTTTACTGTACAAACTATTACTAAAAATCTTAACTACAGTGTAACTGCCACAAATAATATAAGAAGTTCCACTTAGCTAGCACAGATGGCGCTTAGGCGCAGGATGCAGCACAGCAGGTTGCCAGCGCCGCTCAGCGGTACGTAGCGGAAGATCCTCCTCGCCGCACAAGTAATAGTAACAGACCGTGCAGGTTGAGCGCACGGCGCCTGCAGAGGGCGTCACAGTGCCGGAAGCGAACACTATCGCCCCCTGGTGGCGGAAAGCTGCCGAAGTTTCGAGAAGGTCCTCGAAACGACCTGTCAGATTCAAACTTTGAATCTGACAGCCACGTGCTAGCACTACCCACTAAGTTGCACAAGTTACAAGAACACACAAAATAAGTCCGATAAAGCGTTAATTCGCGACAAATTGTATAACATACACTATACACTGAAACGAGAGTATCTATAATATAATCCAAAAGAAAAGCACAAGAAAAGCAGTAAAAAAAAGCAATTAGAATACAAAAACACGCAGCGCGAGTCCACGACACGTCCGATCGAAGCGACGACCGGAACCGAAGTAGCACCGTAGTTCTTGGAGGAGCAGTGCAGGCAGATTGAAAACGCAGCGGGCCCCGTCGACAAACCACAGACTGCCAACCGAGCCGTGCCCAGGGAGAGGCGGAATCCCCCAGGCAAATCGTCGTCAACCCCCCTCAGATCGAGCGGAGCTCCCGTGGGAGGGCGCCGTCCCCTACCATTTTATAGTGGCCTAGTGGCCAGGGAGGCGCCCCCCTGCTCCTATTGTCGAGCATCCGATCACCGGCCGACCTTGTGCCCGAAATTGTTGAGTAAACCGGTCCCAGCGAGATAAACCATCGCCAAGGAGCGCCGCTCGTGCTACTCGTGTTTGGAAAGGCATCTCCAACGAGACTGCCGCACCAGCGGCCCTGTCCGCACTGCCAGGGCAATCACCATGCCGTTTTGTGCCTGGGTGCGAACGGCGCTTACTCTCGGGGCTCTGCTGGGCCCTCAACCCCCACGGGCGGGGGCGCTCAGTCACGCCCTCTGTCGGGCGACGCTCGTCGCTCCCCTGCCGGCCACCGTGACCCTGTTTTTGAAGGGGGTCCCTCCCCCGACCAGTCGGGGGGTCGTTCCCCCAGGGGGCGGGGGGGGGGTCGACACCCCCCTCATCGTGTGGAGAGGAACTTACAGCCACTCAGAGGTCACCGAGACCCTTCTCACCCCCGTTGGCTGAGAGGCCACGACTGGAGTACCACCCTCGCCCCTTTGGTCAGTACCGTTACTACGGGGTTTCTGCAACTTCGAATTTGTCCCGGGCCTCAAGGCCGAGGTTCCCCGAAGCTCCCCAGGTCAGCCCGTTCGGTGAATTCCAACCACGGGTCATTGAGGGTCCGCCGGAATGCCGCTTTCGGGACCCCCGGTTCGAGTGCCGGTCCGATGGAGGCCGCTACAGCTAGGTGGCGTCCACCCTGGCTCCCACCATGGTCGCCTCCACTGATCCTTTGAGCCGTCAACAGTCTACTTGTCAAACTTTTCTATTGCGGACGGCCTCAGTGAAGGTGTACAACCCGAGTGGCGATTGTGTAACGGTTCGCGCTCTATTGGATTCGGGTTCAAATGCGGTGTGGCCTCCGCTTGGTTGGTGGGGAGACTAGGGCTCACCTGGAGCTTTGAATGCTTAGAAAATAAAAATTGCTTTGGTTTTTCCGCGAAATGTTTCGTAGTTGTAGCGGTTGTGAGTAAAAAGGGTGAATTTGATATACTCTTTGAATACGTGTACATATGTTTTTGTAAATATATTTGATCATTATGCTTGCTTTGTTGAAAATTTTTTTTGCATATATTAAACCTCCTTTTGTAAGATATTTATTTTGGAGAAAAGGGAATATAGTTATCTTTTATGTTTATCGTTTTGCTTAATTTATCTGTTTTGATCAATGTGCATCGCGCGTTACATTCAACGTTATATGTTGAAAGATTGTTAGTAGAGCTTACTATCAGAGTTTGTGACATTTTACATTTTACCATGTAGCTCCTAAACGTGTCCCTTTCGTTTTTTTTCTTGTGCCTTTATTATTGTGCATCGGTTGCTGGTAACTCACCATCATGTTCAGAATGCGGCTAATTTGCAGCGGGAGTTTTGGATTTTGGATGGCCGACGCACCATTCGGAGTGTCATTTTTGAGAACATACCTTGTTATGAATTGAAGGCCACCACACCGCAGCCGATGATGGGTGACTTGCCACCCGACCGCGTCAGGGCCATCCGACCATTCGCTGAAGTCAGAACCGACTTTGCTGGCCCCTTCCTCGTCCAGTCCTCCAACCTTCGTAACGCGCGTTCACATAAGGCCTATTTGTGCGTTTTCGTGTGCCTCGCCACTAAGGCCGTTCACTTAGAACTTGTAAGTGCCCTCAGCACTGAAGCCTTTGTGGCCACGCTGGGCCACTTCTTATCGCGTCGCGGTTTGCCGGACCTGATCCAGTCGGATTGCGGAACGGATTTTAGGGGCACAGATAGATTTTTGGTTGGAGATTCAGTCTTGCAACGTGCCATCGCGACCCTATCCCGTTTGCCAATTTACTCGCGGGCATAAGCCCTTATGCCCGGGACGGGGGCTTGTTTACGCCAAGTTGTGACATTTGAAGCTTGCAAGGCGCGTCCTGGGTGAGGAACCGGTTATCGGATTGCGAGAGGGGTTTGCGTCTTGCGCCGGCGACCGTGCCCCGTAGTCGGCAGGAACCTTGGAGCGCAACGGCCGTGCCGGTAAGACGTCGGGCGTTACGTATAATAGTTTTGCGTCGTATGTCGGCGGCCTCCATGTTGTATTTTGTCGTTAATATACGTGACAACGAGGCTTTTTTGCATTTTGATTTTTGAGTTATTGACATTAACATTTATCTCGTCATTAACAATTGACGAGTTGTTAGTGCGTCGTTTGATAGCGTGATAAGACTTTTACTTTGTCGGGAGAACGCTGAACTTTGTGCTTCGAGAAAAAACCGCGTTCTTTCTCGTGGTTATAGTTTTGTGCTAAGTGAACCTGGGACCTTGAACCTTGACCAACCGTCCTTAAGTTGTGCAGCGTGTCACTTGTTTTAATGTCGATTAACGTTGATTTGGTTGAATTTGAAGTTAGAAGATTAAAGGGGTGAAAATAGAAGCAGAAGCTTTCAATTGGTGAACGCCCCCCTGGAGGAATCTCACATTTGGAGAGAAGCAGCGCCTTTGGATCGGCAGTCCTGGATCAGCGGGGCTGTCAGGTTACACATTGTACACACTACTACACACTACTTACCCAATGATCTCCCTCTGATCTATCCCAAGAAAATATGTCTTCGATCAGACCATCAGTTGAAGGCTCTACATCAGAGTGGACTGAGGTAGGCGAAATGAAAAAATTTCTTTTACGCGACTCAACGAGTTTTACGCTAATCCTGGGATAAAACCTATTGACTATTTCAACTACTTCTTTAGTGAAAGTTTTCTTTCTTACAATGATTTGTGATGAAACTAATAAACAAGTAGTCAATATTTCAGCTGGAGTGTCACAAAAATCTAGAATATTGGCATGGAAGGATCTTACTGTTTTCGAGTTGAAAGTTTTTTGGGTTTACTATTTCGTATGGGCACTATTCAGCTTAGTCGTCTTCAGGATTACTGGAAAACGGTCAGGTTATTTTCCATACCAATTTTCGCTGAACAGATGAGTCGGAATAGATTCCTACTGATAATGAGATGTCTCCATTTTATATCTGAAGCAGATAATGGCGACCCAGTGCTAAAAGTTCGCAGTATCGTCGACTATTTCAATATGAAAATGAACGAATGTTATTACCCCGCGAAAGAATTATCTTTAGATGAGAGCATGGTATTATGGAGAGGTCGGCTAAAGTTCCGCCAATTTATAAAAAATAAACACCACAAATATGGGATCAAATTATATATGCTCACTGAACCTGACGGTTTGGTTTTGAAATTCCGTGTGTACGCAGACGGGCTTGACCACGAGGATTCTGGAAAAGGTCATGCCGAGAAAGTAGTGATGCACCTCATGAATGAAAAGCTTTGTAATGGCCATGTACTATACATGGACAATATCTATAATAGTTTTAGGTTAGCTTCTCGATAGTAATACGTACTGCACTGGAACACTACGCATTAATTTAAAACAAAATCCTCGAGAGGTCGTTCAAAAGAAAATATTTCTAGATACTGCCAAGGGGTTCATATAGGAAAATGGAAGGATAAACGACCTGTTACCTACATTACTACAGAGTTTAAAGATAAAATGGTTCCAGTAACAAATAAACATGGACATGTCGCTCAAAAACCCGAGGCAATAGCTAAATATAATGAAATTATGTCTGGAGCGGACTGGCAAGATCAGCTATTAGCATTTTACCCGTGTGAAAGGAAAATTTTGCGGTGGTACCTAAAGGTTGCTATTCACATATTTCAGTTACTACTGATAAATTCCTTCAAAATATATAATAAATACTCTGGTCAATCTAAAATGACATTATATGATTACCGCTTATCGGTGATAAGCGCGTTGAAATCAGATAAACATGTCACAACAAATCCAGGACCTGTAAAAAGACAAGTTTCTATGCTGCACAAAATCGGTAAGATTACGGAAAGAAATGCAAAAGGAAAATTGAAACGTAAGCAATGCCGCCAATGCACGAAAGAAAAAAAAACGTACAGACACTATTTGGCATCGCATTACTTGCATCGAAAAACCTGGATTATGTGTCGAATGTTTTGAATTATATCATTCTTCCATTTGAAACATTGATAATTTTTATCGGTATATTATGATTTCATGCCAAAAATTATATTTCAAACAAAAATTGTTTATTTTATGGTAGGTTATCTTAAAATTGTAACTTATAATAAACGGTGTCACTTTAGTTCCACATAACTCATATTAGTGGTTGTAAATTTTTAAAATTTTAATTTTTTCTATATAAATAATATTAATACTAAATACCGCACCACTACACCACGCACTGGGGCGGGCTTGGCACTGCGTATGAATTTTCCAACCGCAGTGTTGGGCCCGCGCAGTTGCGAGATATCTTTTTATTGTTTTATTTACGAAATAACAATTACATGTATTTAATTTTTTTAAACCTTTTAACTGATATCTAAGAAGCTGAATAAAAACAAAAAAACTGTTCGGCATTTGGCACTAGACCCTCACAGTTTGGCTGGCAACGAAACTGTTAAGCAAATTACAGTATAATCTAACAAATCAGGCACTATTAAAAACCAGATGGATTACTGGATTATAGAGAAAAAGTCATAATGAATAAAATAAAGCGTTTCATAGAGAGAATATATAATGTAATTACATAGTTTTAAAATAATCCTTAATTGAGGTCTGCTTTTGTGCAACTTGTACAAAGCTTTCTTTTTCTTGTACTGCTTCACATATTTCTTCATCTGTCATAATTTGCTCTGTTTCTTCGATCTCTTCAGACCAAGAATTTAAATTTTCTTCATTTGTCTCCAATCCTCCTTCTTATAGATTTTGTAACCAATAGGCAATAGGTAGATTATCATCAGGATCCCATTCTTCTGTTTTTTCTGTTTCTGATACAGCATTCATAGTAGATCATAACTTTTCCATGAAGATTAGATTTAGTTAAATGAAACAGACTTCCAACCATGAGTGAGAGAGAATACAACATCCTTCAAATTCAATTCTTTGAGGCTCTGTGTTATATCACCTGAGATATAATGTGGATCAGGAATTTATTTTTATACAAGGACTTTATGGATAACTTTTGATCCATCGGCTGAAGTAAAGGTGTGCAGTTTGGTGGTAGGTAGATGGTATAGATATTCCCATCGCTTGTTTAAAGTTCTTGTTTATTTGATTGGCCTGGAGCATTGTCAAGTACGAGTATAGCTTTTATGGGCAATTTGGATCTTTTCATAAACTTCTTGATTTCTGGGACAAAGTCCTTATGAAACTATTCGCTAAATACCTCTCTCGTGACCCAACTTTTAAATTGATTCTTAAAAGTTCTGCGATTTTTTGCTTTACCAATCACTAACAAATCCAATTTGTGCGTTCCAGTAGCATTTGAACATAGCATTATTGTGATTCTATCTTTACTTACTTTAAGACCTGGTGCACTTATTTCTTTAGAAGATACGAATGTTTTATTGGACAACAGTCTCCACAATAGACCACTCTCGCCCGTGTTATAGATTTGATCAGGAAGTAGACGCAGTTCTTCTTCTCTTTGTTTTTAAAATGCTGGATAAATGGCTGTACTACAGATTCGTCGCTTGATAATTTCTCACCCGATATCATTAATAGACGGATACCAAATCGCTTTTTGATGACATTGTTCTGCGTCCATACAATGTTCGCCTAAGAACCAACAGTTACAAAAAATACCTTTTTACGTCCGAAATTATACGTTATTGTATGTAAGAACAATAAATCTTGACGGACACTTCCGAAAACAGAGATATTAGCAGTTACCGTAGAGATTTTGAGGTTATCTTTTATTTTTATAAAATATCACTATGTTATTGCTAATGTAAGCAGTTCAGTCTTAGCCTAGCACTTATACGGTAAATAAAACTCAGGGTGTTATTAGGTATTTGTTTTATTCATACCAATTAAAAACAATTTATACACTCATTTGGCAACCAAAATAATGATTGATACTATCAACCATCATTACTTTCGAGCAAAATATTATTCAAGAATTGAGCAGGGGGTTGATATTTTCTTGGTATCGGGCCCAACTTAATAATCAACAATCAATAAATATAATAACCACTTAACATAGGAACGCAGCAACCTATAGTTCTGGCTTCTGGGCCCAACACAATTACAACGATATTTTTTATTGCCTCCCGATTTATGACTCATCAACCAAAATGTATACAAAATAAGTTTTACTACTAATATGGCGGCTATGTATTATCCCTCTAAGCTAGTATCAAGATTTTCGGATGAGTTCAAATTATATTGACGGTTATTCGATGTCTCGCCCTGTGTTACTATACATTTTCGAATATAATCTAGTCTTTTCTGTTGTATCATTCTGAAACAAAGAATATGAAACTGAAGATCATAGACAGAATTAGACAAACTGCTATCTAAATTAAATAGTTGTAAACAGAACATCGTAGTTTTTATCTTTGATACATTAACATCAACTAAAATTCAAATGAACACTGACAAGTTTTGTAGTAATACTTGAATAAGATACAACTTATGGAAAATAAAGTAGCAAAAAAGTACACACATTACAAAAATTTGTCTAAAATCAAGAAAAGAAATGACCTATGTTTCTGAATACAGAGTCGTACAAACTGGAGTACCGCAAGGAAGTGTTTTAGGACCATTGTTGTTTCTTATTTATATCAACGACCTTCCCAACGTCATTAATCACAAAATAGTATTATTTGCTGACGATAGCACAGTTATTTTCACTAGCAGAAACAAAATAGATTTAGAAAGTAACATACACTTTGCTTTAGAGAAAATCATGAATTGGCTAAACATAAATAATTTAAATATAAATTTAGAAAAAACAAAACTTATGACATTCTATCAAAAACGTAATAAAATAAATAATTTAAATATCAATTATCTAGGACAAAAAATCAATACCATAGATAATATAAAATTTTTGGGTATAAATGTAGATTGCAATTTGAACTGGCAGTCTCATGTGAGCAGTGTGTGTATGAAATTAAATCGTTTTTCGTATGCGTTATATATGCTTGGAAAAGTTGTGGACACATCCGCCGTAATGGCATCATATCATGCTTATGTTATGTCTACACTTAGATATGGTATTATGTTCTGGGGTAATTGTACGGACAAAGAAACAGTATTTATTTGCTCAAAAGAGATGCTTACGAGCCGTTTGTAAAATTAACCAAAGTGAGAGTTGTAAGCCATACTTCATTAATTTAAAATTATTAACAATGCCATGTCTATATATATATGAGGTAGTCTTATTTGTACGTCAAAACTTAAGTTTTTACAAAAAACTAAATGTCCAGCGTCATAAAGATAAATTGAGCCATCCCAATAGTAAGACTGTTTTGTTTCAAAAAAAGCGTATTCTGTATGGGTCCTCGACTGTATAACCCCTCGTATGTCCAAACGCCATATTCTGGCGTCTCAAATAAATATGCGCATCTGTCAAACGTTAATATGGCGTCGAGAGATAGCAAACTATTTGTAACATATATATGATATATATAACATACATATATAAAGATATATATATATATATATATATATATATATATATATATATATATTTACTTAGTATACTTGTTATATACTTACCTAGTACTTCGGAAAGTGCTCGACAGATGCGCCATATTGGCCAAAATTACCCCGACAGTCGAGTGGATAACCATTTACCTAAATATATAAGAGATTCTAAGAGCTTTCACATTTTTAAGAAACAACTAAACACATTTTTAACCATAAAAGCGTATTATAATATTGACGATTATCTATATGACAATTTTTAAATTTTAACTATCAAATTTATTGAACGAAACGTTATCTATGTTATTAATTTTGAGACAATTTATACCTACTCGTTTTGACATTATTACTTGGACATTACAATTTTAATTATTACATGTATTTTATCATTATTTTGTGAATTATTATTATGTTAGTAGCGCAAATATACAAATAGGGTTATATTATGTTAATGTAATTATCGGCATTTTCCATTTAATTTTAATTATAAATAAAATCTAATATTTAAGTAGTTTGCATACCGAAAGGTAGAATATGGCTGTATTTTGTTAAATTTTTAAGACCTATTGTAACCCATATATCGCAAATGAATAAAATGAATTTGAAACAAAAAATACACAAAACTTTTAATAGATCATAGGCACAACTCAAAATAATAATTTGTTCATTTAAATGCGGGGTACACCAAGCGTTACGTTATAGTGAAGAATACAGGTTAATTTTCTAAATAGGATTTGGAAAATAAAATACTTAGTCAAAGAAAAATACAGCAAGAAATCACAATAATACACTTTTCTTCTTATGGTAAAACCAAATCCATGTATCATTAATAGATAATACTCTGTTTCAAATAACAACACGCGTCAAACTAGTTCAAGGACAGGAGCAACACTAAATGTGTCGTTCTTCCTTTTTCTAGCGAAACAGAAAGAGCGAGAAGGATGTATGTAGATGCAAATTTCGTAATTGGTTCATTCAAGGAGAAGGCGATTTTCGACCTAATTTCAAAGGTAACGTACTTTTTTTTTGTCGAACTGTATTATTAAGTCAGTTAGTGCCAAATTTTGACATGATACTGTATTTTTCCGGACAAGCAATGTAATGGGAGAGAGAAGGTTATAGTTCAAATTTTGTTATTTAATTTTTTTTGAGTAGAGTTTATTTTATATTAGTTTTAAGTAATATAATGAATGAATAATTATGTTTAATTGTTGATAAGTTTTTATGAATATTTATTTTGAGAGGGTGTAAATAACTAACGTGCTACGAGATAGAGCGTGCTGCAAAACTTAACGCGCTTGCCGGCCTTCTACACGCTTTCTTTATAAATAGCGCACTGTAACATAACATAGCGTATTAATTAGCGCGTATTTATAGTTTATAAGTTGTAATATAGCGTGCTATTGATTTATAGTCGTTTTGAACAATTTTAATATAATCAAATTTCGCTAAAACATGGGTACAGACGGATGGGTACAGAGTCAATATTTGTTTCCACATGTTTTGCCATTTGTGGCATGCGTAAAAGTTGTTTAAAATAAATATGTTGAAAAACAAATTAAAATTAAAAAATAAAATTAGAAATAAACACTATTATAAATTTTCTTTTTCTTTCATGAACACTTTATATTTATGTTTTTAGGAAAACATAACAAAAATAGAAAAATTAATTTTTGTTCATTTGAGAAGTATCACGCAAAATCCTGGATCTAAAGTAATTTACTTACTTAAGCAAAATCAATAAAAATAAAATCAAAATTTATGGTTAAAGAATTCATTGATGTTATAAAAGGCAGTATTTATTAGCCACTGCTTTAAACTTTTTTTTCATTCGCCTTAATGTCTGTTCACGAATATTTTTAGGAACTTTATTATAAACCTTGATACAAATAACGAGGCAATTCCTCTGAAATAATGTAGTTTTACAAGATGGCATGAGTAAACGTGTCGGATCTCTTTTTGCTAGAGTGTTATTATTTTTCTGCACGCTAACAAATTAATTAGGATTATTTTTAATGAAAACACAGATTTCTAATATATATATATAAACCAGTTAAAGTGAGAATACTTTTTTCCTTAAACAGGGGTCTACAGCTTTCAAGAGGGCCTACATTACACAGTGTACGAATACATTTCTTCTGACTTAGGAAGGCTTTGTTTGCGTCAGTTCCACAAGAGTAGTCCATATCTTAAGACGGATTAAATGTACTTGGAGTAAGCAATACGTGCTGATTGTGGACCTGCTACATTTTGAAGTTTACGTAGTGCATTAACAAATTGATTAACTTTTTTGCATACTTTTTGTACGTGTAATTTCCAATTTACATACCGGTCAATAGTAACACCTAGGAATTGTGTATCTACTACCTCTACCAATATTTCGTCTTTATATCTTAAGTCCAATTTTTGTGGTTTTGTTTTATAATTTCCAAATTGAATATGTTTAGTTTTGTTAGTGTTTACTCGTAAATTGTTATCTTCTAGCCATGATATAACTGACGCTATAGTATAATTTATTTCTTGTTCATATATCTGTGACTTATTAGTGTGGGGTATAACAATTGATATGTCATCAGCAAATAGTATTGACTGATGATTTGTTATACTCGGTAAGTCATTTATGTATAAAATGAACAATAAAGGGCCTAAGATACTCCCTTGAGGTACCCCATAGTCATTTTGTAGATAAGGAGATCTGTAATATATTAACTCTAGATTATTATTAATACGTGATACTTCAACACTTTGTTTCCGATTTGTCAAATAACTTTCGATCCATTCCAAAGCCGGTCCTCTGATTCCTAGTTTTTCACATTTTTACAACAACTTGCTGTGTTCTACACAGTCAAAGGCTTTAGACATATCAAAAAAGATGCCTACTGTTGGTACTCTATTATTAATACATTCAGTTCTTGGACGTGAAAAGGTAGCAAGTGTAGTAGATTTATGCTTTTGAAAG